GCGAAATAGGAGCACTATTTATCAATCTGTAATAAAAGACGTGAGGAAATTCTGTCTTTTTTAAAGACAAAAATTTTTGAGGCGAAATACCCAAACAGAAGTTTGTAAAAAACTAAAAATTTGCACAACAAAATCCGTTTTCTTAACGAGAAAAACTGCGTAAAACTTTAAATTAAATGTCGGTTGGATGTAAATATGGCTTTTGATCAAATTCCTACAAAACCGGACTGAAGTACGGTCAAACAAAAACTTGCGAAAAACTATGCTAAGTCAAAGCGTTCATCTATTTCATTTTCGGAATGGAAATTGCATGGAAAATTTAAAAACTCCCTCAATCCATTTACGTTTGGGTTTATTGAAATTGCTTTTTAACGCAATTGCTTTTGCGCAATTTTAGATTCTCAATTTTGTAACCGAATTGCATCGGTTTGTTGGCCATGGAATGGCGCTTTGTGCAGGGAGCACGAACGGAATTAAATAAATAACAAAACTACCTGACTGTATATAAAACTCCATATTTTCTGTGGATTTGTTTCGGCCAAAGTAATGTATCTATCCAGACAGTTTGTTGCGACTTTCATGGGCGAAGTTACACGTTATAAAACTGTCAATAGAATGAGTAACTCGCGTAACAAAGTTATGTTTTCATATCTCTTCTGAGCCAGAAGGTATAAAATATTCCATTACGAAGCATCAGTAAATTGGATATATGGATTGCGTGGTGGTCGCTCATGCATTATGTATTAAAAATGATAAATTGAAATGAGCTTTTTAAGCGATGCCCATAAATGTTTACTAGGATGAATTATTGAGGCTTTAGTTTCGAAATGAAAGTCATGCTTTTCTCCCGGTCGAATTAGGTGGCACCAATTAACTAAACACCACACTAAACTATGTAATAATTTTCAATAAACCACCAAGTAAGTGAATAAAGCATCATTAATCTTAGTCAATGCCGGTCTATGTAGAAGCACATTTTAAAAGCCCTTGAGGGCAATCCGAGCAGAGCTATGAAAGTAGCATAAACATAACTAAATCTTTATTAAAACGGGTGCTCTGGAGAATTGTAATGCAATACGTTTTTATTATTGGAAGAACAAAGCAAAAGTGTATACGTGAGGAGCGTAGATTTTTATTAAAACCCGCATTTCGCTTAATAAGCTGCAAAGTTTTATTTTTATTATTTTTGCTTGCGGTTTAAACTTGTTGAAAACAGCGCTACTTTTATTGTCCCTAGTGAATTGTAAAAAGATCGTGTGATGAAAAATTCAACAGATTTTACGTCGGTTTTCGTTTCGTGAAGACGTAAAAAACCCACAGAATCCTTCCCTATTCGCCAACTGGGAAATGTTAACAAAAACTTCATTTTCGGAATATGAATTGTCGGTGTCCAACGCAGTATTTTCAAGAGAAAATGTGAATTTGCTTATCGTAATAGAAAATGTTTTTAAACACTGTTATGCCTGCAGGGGTTGTCGCGATTTTAGGTCTCAGTGGAAAACAGTTTCTTCCTGACGTTTCGCAAGCACGAGTGGCGTGTATCTTCAGAGGTGGTTTGAGCATCAAGCCCAAAAAAACCAGCTATTTTGGCTTCGTTGCATTCGCTTGTTCCGGTATTAAAATAAATCAACCTCCTGCCTTGTCGCAGGCGTGTCGTTTCCAACACCAACTCTCTTAAGTTTGAGCCATAAAAGTGTGGCAACACGGAATTGTGTAACCTTGCCCCCATTTGTCTACAATAATGTAGTTGCACAACTTCCCTTTTTACGATTAGAACTTTAATCTCAGTTATAACCTTTATTGTGCAGATAACGGGGAAAATGCTTTTCCGAGACAAACAGGAAATGTTTCTTCGCAACTGCAAAGAGCAGCTGGATTCGGCTGGATCCAGTTGTGCCACTTATGAAATACGTGCTTTTAAACCAAAGTTTTCCTCCCAGCCACGTTTGGTATTTTAGTGGCATGTTTCTTCACTCTGGCTTATTAAACTACGAGGAGCTTGCACTTGGCGATTATGTATTACTTTAGAACATGTTTGGAAGGGTTTGATGAACGATCTTCGCATTTTCATTTGGGAAAATGTTATTGATATGTAAAGAAAAAATGTAAAAAACGGGTTTTAACAAGGAAAGATGATACGGAACAAATAAGGGCAAGAGCCCCTTTCAGGCCTTTCAGGCCTGAAAGTTTTCGGTGTTATATTCAGGCCAGCGCTTCCGGACTATTAAAAGTCAATTTTCATGATTTCCAATTCAAGCAAGCCCGGAAAGTTTAAAATTGACGGTTCGGATGCTGGTATTCCTCTAGACCCTTCTATCCAAAAGCCTGATTTCATTTATTGATTAAAATCCAAGAGCTTGAAAATTAGGTTTCTTCTAAACAATGTTTGGCCCTTTTTTCAATCGCTACTTTACTTAGATCAACAACAAGCAAAAATCACCGAAAAACTTGATGAATGCAGTAAAAATGCAAATGTTTGACATAAAAGACGCTTAAGCCGTAATAATGCGCTTGTTGGGCTGAAAAACTAGGTAAAAAGCATTTCCTTTCGAGGACGGTAATTGTAACAAACTCTCAAAGTAAGTGGTTAACTGGAGCGACTGAAATGCCCTGGAAACTAAAGTGCAGAAAAAGTAAGTGCTTACTTTGCTGCTTTTTTGCTCCGATGCAATGGAGCTTTAATTTTCTTTATTGCTTTGTGTCGAATTAGATCGATTTGCTGCGGATCTTTTACATGGAACTCCAGCTTTGAAGAAATTGTTTCGCATTTTTCTTGTAAAGGAAAATTCAGGATTTTTGATGATGCAAAGCGTGTTGGTGCCCAAACACAATAAAGTCGTAGTAAAGTGCGAACTAACTTGGGCAACTTTGTGAAACGTTACGTGATTAATGGCAATTTCACTATATCACTTTTAGTGCAAACGAGGCAATATTTTCGTTGTAATGGCAGTCATAACTCGAGGTGCACATGTTTGTAGTGTGGAAAAATGCCCATTCTGCTCGAGCTAAATTTTCCTTAAACCCGTGGCAGGAATTTCAGATGGCACAAAACCTACCTTTGCAGCTGGACTGAAAAAAAACGAAGAAACAGACAAAATAAATAACGAACCATTTGCACTCCCAGCAACGAACTACGTTACAACTTGCAATAGCTTCGAAGCATTCGGGCTTTAATTAATATAACAAAACTCGGAGAATATATTGCCGTCAAGGAGAGAACAATTCTGTGCTTCCTCTACTGGCAACTTTCCACAATGATTTTTGGAACGCACCTACATACATAAACGGCATTTCTGCCGGAGATGCTGATTAGTTGTAAACTTGCCAGGAATCAGCACTTTCTCAATAATTTACTTTGACGTTATTGTATTGCGAACTATACCCTACATGCTCCCTAACATGCATTTTGCCTCTGCGGAAGTGCAAATTCTGCTGCGTCAGGCATTAACTTTTAGTTGAACTTGTACGCGATTAATTCTGAATCACAATCGAATTTTCAACGGGGTTAATGAAGGAATTTCGATCTAATCTAGTCGAATCATGGAAGTGGTTTGCTAAACCTAAAAAAAACTGTTGGCGATTTTAAGACGAAATCGCGGAAAAGTTGCTGAGAATCGACCCAAAAACCGTTTAATAACTGAGGTATAAAAAATTGTGTGTGGCATCAGCATTCGATTTGGCTCTTCTTAACTGTAAATATATAACAATGTGAGACAAGCATTGGAAAATCTTGAAAAAACATTTTCCATCCGGTCGCGTTTGACTCCAGGACGAATTGAGGACAGTTTTCACTTTTTTGGGGGAAGAATCGATCCAAAAACTGTTCGATAATGTATAACAATGTCACCTTCGATTTGGTCAAATCTTGCAAAAACCGGAAAAATTTCCATGACTGAAGAGTCCCGTTTTATTCCAGGACTAAGTGGGGATAGTTTTCATTTCGACGAAAATGGAGATGGTCCAGCGCGCTACAACATCATACATTTCAAACAGGTTTCGCCCGGAAAATACCAATGGGTTCGAGTGGGGGAGTATATGGAAGGATCCCTAGTTCTGAATATGTCAGGTAACTTGAA